TGTTTTATAAATACGAATGAGTATATAATTATACAAATGAGGTTTTTCCGAGCACCGTGTTTGAGAAAAATATGCCAAAAGGTGCATTTTCATATTAACATTTCAAAAAAGTTGATATTTTTAGTTTCTAGTAACACTTGCGATCCATTAAGTAACGTTTTTGTGTATAAATAAAACTACAAACAAAACTACTTACCACAATTTAATCACAATTAAATAATATTCATGTGATACATCCTATTAAACGTAATTGAACATCATCTGTCAAAAACGTTTGACATTTGACGTATTAGCCACCGTCCATTGTTTTATTTAAATTGCGCTTCTACACAAATTTTCAAATTAAAAATGTAAAGTTTCTACGCGATTTTGAAATAATATCTCACCTTTCCGACAACCTACGGATTGGCACGAATTTTTTAAGTCTAAGACTGGCCAAATCGGTTTAGCCGCTTTCGAGTTTTAGCGGATCATTTGATCGAGAGTTCTATTTTTATATATAAGAAGATGGGTCTATGTTACTCACGTAACGTATTACATGTGACTTTTAATCAATGGCGAGAGTTCGCGGTTGTCGTCGGCGGTGTTCGCTCGGACATGTGATGTCACAGTTGAGAATTATGATATACGAGGTCCATGTAATGTAATGTCTATCCCTGATATGTTACTTTTGTTTATTTGGCCCAATAATAATCAGATGACGTACGGTCTTTGACTCTCTGCAGTGATGTTTGATAATGGAAACAAAACTGTTTTCTATTTTTAGACGCGGTGATAACGGCAGACTGATCTTCTGCTCGGTAAATTTAGACACACGACGACCTTGCATGCAATTTTCGAATAAAAAGATTTCAGTTGACCTATTGGAAAAATAAAAAACAAATATGTATATATGTACCAGCTGCCCCGGCAAACGCTTGTTTTGCCATAAAAAATATTTCTAGTATAGAATGTTTAGTACGAAAATTACTAGCTGATTACAAATGTGGTGCATAAGTGAAAGTAACAGTTAACAAATTAAATATGAATAGTTTACCCACTGCAAAACATGTCACATATAAATGTTCCTTAATATTTTTGGCAAGAGCCAACTTGGTATAAAACTGATTCTATTTATTGCATTGGCACATTTAATGTTTCAAGATTTTGATATTTATTACTGCGCTTTTACATTAATTCAGTATTTTTTTAATTACGAATCAAAATCCGATACTTCATTTTTAAATTATATTGTTATGTGGCATGCCCAAGCGAATTGACTGAGATTGAAAAAAATTAAGAAAGTGGAAAATTTTATAATTTTGTCATAGATTTGTATGGTACCTATAATTCCCTATTAAAAACTGTTGTATCTTCAGATTTTAATATTCAATCTCTCTATTTCTTTGCAAAAATTGCTCTTTATGCAAACCATTTATCAACTGTGTACTGATTGTGCGCATCGGGAAATATTTGTACAAAGGGAAAATGGGACGTGTGAACAACCCTTAATAGTTTTTTTAAATATAATTCCTGCTTTATCATAAGACGAGGAAAATATCAATTAAATTCAGTATAGAAACACCCACTGACTGAAAGTGTGGTGAAAAATAATTCGATTGCTAAAATGGTTATTATGAAATAGAGATTTGTTGAAGGAGGATGAAAATTTAGAGTTGCATGTATTTTTCAATTCTGTACTAAAAAAATTAAAATGAAAAAAATTGACCTCAAAATTGAAAAAAAGTATTGGGGTTAGACAACCCTTAATAATAATAAATTGTATTTTAAAGTAAGATTTAAGCTTTTTCTTCAAGTTCAAAAATCTGAACTAAAATTATGTCAAAAATATTCAGTGACTGAACGCCGGATAAAAAATGATTGAACTGCTAAAATGGCTTTGAAAAAAAATGGGGGTTGGTGATAAAAAAGTAAAAATTTGCCAGTTCCAAAAATCAAATACTTCTGGCTAATTCTAAAAGAAACAAAATATTCTAACACACAATCTTAGACTATAAATAATATTAAAAATTACAATTTAAAATTGAAAATATTAAGATATTTTATTTGTATAGGACGTAATATAAAATAGGGCATAACTCATTTATAAGTAAAAAAAAGTCACTTAGTTATTTTTAATAATCTTTCTAAAGTGGTCATTTATTCAAAACTTTCATCCATCAGCCGCAGCAAAACGTGGCCGGGTATGCTAGTATATATATATGCTGAATTTGATATTGTTAGAAATAGAAACGTTTTTTTCTTAAATCGCTTCATAATTAGGTACATATTATGTATATTGTATTATTGTGTTCATTGTACATTATTTATCTGCTAGTCTAATTTCACTTGTTACTCTTCATTTTGAAGAAAATTTATTTAAAAGACGTTTTCAGGAAGGGTCTTTTATAACCATTTATAAGGAGAGAAAAGAAAATTTACAATTTTTTTCTATACCAAAAATTACAATTTTCATACATTTCCTTTTCCGCTGATAATTTTCAATTCGAAACCAATTTGTATTAATCCTTATATCTTTTACAAGAATTTTGATCACAAATATCTTATCACTTATCAGCGTGTAAATAAAGATTATCATGACCGAGATTTTATTTGCGTTTCGAATGAGATAAGATATCGATATTTTTACTACTTTTTAATCATTTTAAAATTTTTGCACATAATTAAAATTCAAGATAAATGCGTGATAATTTGGAAACAAATATATTTATAAATTAACACAGAATATTACTATTCTGATTTTTTTATCATTAAGTAAAATATTTCCAGTAAATTTTTTTGACAGATGTATCTACAACTTACAACTTACAGCTTTAGAAAAATATTGAGAATTATAATTATATATGGTGTTTTAAGTTTAAATTTAGTTAAAATTACAAATTTTAATTTCAATTTACTTTATAAAAGACATGTTTGAAGAAAAAATTTATTTGTAATAGATATTTAGGCTTGTTTGATGATTTAAAACGCACGAGCACATATTTCCCTTGTCCACAACCAATCACATTACACGAATTTTTCGGAAAAGACAGCACTCTACAAATTCTATCTGTGTCTCTGTCGCACGTTGTTCTGATTGGTCCGTACCATGGTTCTTTATAAAAAGACATTGAATTAATGATAGAAATCCGTTACTTTTTTATATGTTATCTATATTTTTAAGTCTACACAGCTTGATTATTATTATTATATATGTATATCTAATATTTATTAATGTATATCTAAGTAAATTATGCAATTATTAGAGAAAAATCTTTAATTTAACTTTTGATTTACCAGAAACTTTTTTGTTTACGGTTATATATATATATATATATATAATAAAAATAAATGTATATATATATATATATATATATATATATATATATATATATAGCTGTCTAGGTCATTAGAATTCGTGCTATTTTTCAATAAAGCATTTCATCGATTTTAAAGAATTCAAGGTATGCACCGTGAAAGTCATCCGAATTAATCATAATGCACATACACACACACGCATATATATATATATATATATACATTTATTTTTATTATTGGCTCTGTAAACTAGTGCATTTCGACACTTACACTTGTTTTATTTTCAATTTGCCTAATTTAGGCTCTATTTTATTGGAGTATTTATTAATTCATTTTTTATGCGATAATCCACCGGGATTCGAT